GTTGTACCCTACTCTACATCCAACATACTCATTATAGAGCACCGTTATGATTAAGAGTCCACATGCTTGAGTCAGACGACGTGAGTTTGAACACCAGTTCTACCACTTTTAGCTGTGCCATCTCATGTATATATAACCTCTCTGCAACTCTAGGTAATGTATTAACCACCTATTAGGACTGCTAAGAGAAATAAATGAGATAATATATACAAATGTTTCGAGGAAAACCATAGCATGCAAAGTGATATTCAGGCCCCTTCTACTGGGCCTTTCATTTTTCTTTTCTTTTCTTTTTTAGCATTACGAAGCCAGAAAAGGCAGGCAGATGCATGTTAGAATACAGGATGCTCCTTGCCAGCATTTCTAGTGTGAGACAGATGGAAGTAAACTAGAGGCACCTTGGCTGAATTTTCCAGCTGTGAATGGATTCTCTGGTTATATACCAATATGCACAAAATAAAATAAAGTGACTATCACAGGTAAATTTCTGAAAAGCAATTACTTTAGCAAAGGAGGCTTGCTTTTATTATAGGTAGGCAGCATAATGCATAACATAGCTTTATCCTTCGTCTGGATGAGTAGAGGATAAATAATTGATATCAGCAGGGGAAAACAAAGTCAGCCCAGGTTCTGAAACAGGGAAATGTGATCAAGAGATTCTGTACGCTGAAGGCCAACTGAGATACTGGAATCCCACTTCTGTGTAATAAACAGCCCTGACATCTCCATTCCATGCCACAATTATCAGAGCCATGTTCTTTGGCTTCTAGCTAGGTCTTCCGAAATGAAGACAATGCAAAAACCAAACCAGGAATTTGCAATCAGGGGACAAAAGAAACCTAAGTGTATCACTGACTTAGTTCCTTTTTATGTTTCCAAACTAAGTTGTCAAGAAGAGAAATGTCATATCTAATTGACTTAGTTCCTTTTTATGTTTCCAAACTAAGTTGTCAAGAAGAGAAATGTCGTATCTAAGAACACATGGTTATTATTTGGGGGAGGGGGGAGAGTACCTAGTATACAGCCCCAAGAAAATTTTTAAAGAAACAAAATTGAGAATATTTTTTAAAAATCTACTAAATTACAGAATCTATAGGCAGATTCCTTCCACTCCATATGTGATATGACTATTGCTTCACACAATGTTAGCCCAAAAAAACTGGGTGGGGAGCAGGGGAAAGAAAGGCTAGTGTTTACAGGGAAATAAAAACAGCCCACAAAGAGGCAACGAGGTTGAATGACTAGCCCAAGGTCTCATAGTCAGTCTCAGGCAGACCAAGACCAAGAATAGAATAGGTCTGCTGACTCTCCTTGAGCTCCTACTCCTTCAGAACTTGCTGCCTGTTTGATCACAGACTCAGCATGGGTCAGATTCACACTGATCTCAGCAGGAGCTTTCTGCCTGAATAAGAGCCAGCTCTGAAGATAAAATATTCTACAGAAGTCCCAAATATGGTTGTTACTATTAAAAAGCCATTTCCCTCTAAGTTTAAGAAAAAAAAAAGCACAGAAAATCTTAATAGCAAATCAAGATTTAATACTGATCTTGCTCCTTTTTCCTCTGAGCACAAGAGTTTCAGGGTCCTTCCCTCTATGACTTCCTCCCACTACAAAACAGCTTCGAGGGAGCAGATCCTACTGCCACCCCCTCTCCTCGAATATATATTATTTCTCAGCAGGCTCCAGTAGGAGTTGAGGAGCCAATCTGTGAGGGAGTGAACACAAGATCTCCCATAATAGCACAGAGAGACAGAAAATTGCTGCCAAAAGTGTAAATTGCTTTTTTTTTGCTTGGAAAAAAAAAAAAAAACCACTCTGGGCTTCAAAGACACCCTCTTAAAAGATAACTCCATGGTGGTTAATATCCATGTTCTACAGATTAGGATTTCTGTTCGTCCATGCTCTCCAAGAATCCTTGCCATCTATGTAACTGTAGAATGGATTTGAAGAGTAAACCACCAAACACAGGGGCAACAGGCAGGGAATTCTGCAGGGTCAAAGGAAGGCTTGACTGTCTGCTCCCCAGGGAGTCTGAAAGTACTCCTTTTGCTGCTGACCCTGAAAGGGCACTGTGTGAGGGTGAAATGAAGAAATACCCCTTTATAATGACAGAGGCTAAGGAAAGGAGAAGTAGCTTGCAGAAAACAGAGGCCCTAGCAATTCAATGTCAAAGCAAGTGAGACCTCCCAGGTTAGAGGAATAAGAGCAAAGCAATCCTCTAAGAGTATGCGTGAATCCTCCTGGCTTTCCTTCAGGGTCACAGAAAGAAATGCGCTGGCAGATGAGGACAGGTAGGGGCAGACAGTCCAAACAGCGGTGGAGGGCATGAACCCTGAAGCCAGAGTAGATTCAAATCCTAGCTCTGCTACTTACTGGCTCTGTGATCTAGGGCAAGTTAATCTTTCTGAGCATTAATTTCCTCATTTTACAAGTGAGCTAATAATTATATCATAAGCTTTACATGAGGATTAAATGAGAAGTGATATAAAATACCGTACACAGTAAACCTTCAATAAATGATAGCTATGATTATTGTTATTTATCAGCAGGACAACTACACAATAAAATTCAGGACCAGGAACAGACATGACCAACAGCACAATATTGGGACGCTTCACATTAAATGGCTTGGGGAATCAGAACCAAAAGGAGGAAAGAAGGCAGGGAGGCTGGCAGGAGGGAGGACACAAGCTCTATTATAGACAAATATGTATCCATAGCACGATTTCCCTTTGTTCCTGTGGAGTGGCTGGAGCCCAGTCTCACTGGACTTGGGTGCGGATGGTGGACAAGCGGCTGAATGGAAAGAATGCCAGCAAGGGAGACACAAGTGTCCTAATCCAAGAGGCCTGGACACAGAGTCTCCCAATTCATTCTCTTCCATCCCCTGTGCAGGCACACTCACACTTCCCTTCATTCAATACTTTCATTCAATACTTTCAGCAATACAGAAGCCTGTGGAACAAAACTCTGGCTTATTGAGATGGAAAATGTGTATCATAAATGAGAGAATTTCAGATCAAAGGCAATCTGCCCTGAAGTGTTAATTGGAATTAACTGAGACAAATGGTAGTCAACACAAACTGAATGGAACCAACAAATATAAATTTAAAGTTTAAAAAGAAAATTTGACTTCGTTTTCTTCTTTCTGTCAAATTAGAACATGCTCTTCATTGTACCAAAGGGTTCATTATACCAAAAAAGGGTTCTGTCATTGTACCAAAAGAAGATTCTATCAAGTCCTGGTATAACAGATTCCCTGCTGACATCCACGATAGCCTAGCTCAAAGGAGACAGCTTGATATCTTGGTTGCTAGTAAAGAAACTCTATGCTTCACGACTATCTTGTCAAAATGACATGAAGGTATCTGCAATTAAACTCTAAAACCAGTATCTACACTAAATAGTATCTTTGAAGCAAGTTAATCTCTTCATAAAGTCCCTGTATTCTTCTACTCAACGTGACTCTGACATGTAACCATGAAGACAAATGAGTGTGTTCATCCTAATCAGGTTCCTCCAAGCTACATGACATCTGCTAAGGTGTTTTCATTATACTGGTCTTGTCTGAACGCTCTTTCTGGGGAAGAAGAAAGTCTAGGGCTCTGTTTGGCCTGGATTTTAAGGAGCTAGAGCTATTCTAGACAGTAGGAGAGATGGGAGTGCCAAGGAGATAATTTAGAGTCTGTCGAAACCAAAGGTCTGTGCAAAATGGTAAACACCTGGTCAATAACTAGAAAAGATGTGGATTTAGGCTCCCATCATCACTACTTTAGTCTAACTAGTCTCCCACACTCTGGTGTTAATCCACTTCCAGTTAAGGCAGGGGAGACTTCCAAAATGCACATCTACTCGGGTTAATTCCTGTTTACAATTCTTTTAAGCTTTCCCATTGCCTGCAAGACAGAGCTCAAACACCTTAGAAGGCCTATAAGGCCCTAAAGGACCTGGATTCTGCTTTCTTTCTTCCACTCTTCTCTTGTCTAGAGCTTCTGCACAAGTTGTTCCATCTACCTAGAACAACCCTACCCCCTACCCCCTGCTCCTCCTTTGCCTGCCTTCTCATCTTTCAGAGCCCTGTTTATATATGACCTTTTAGGGTAAGCCTTCCCTTACCCTCCAACAACAAAGCAGCCGAAACTTCCCTCAATCATAGCACTTGTCCCACAGTATAAGGGCCCGGTGATATGCTTATTTCTCCCACAAGGACAGGAATACTGGTACTATATACCCAGTGAGTAACACAGTGCCCGACACATAGTAGGTCATGAGAAAAGAAAGGGAGGGAGTGGAAGGAAGGAGAGAGGGAGGAAAGAAATGAACTGTAATTCCGAGGGAGCCTGTTCCTGAGAACGGCTGGAAGGTGAATTTGAAGAAATTCCCTGAGGCTTTGCAGTTCTAAAGCAGGGTGCCTGTGGCTTTAGCCACAGTAGACAAGGAGCTAGATCTAGGCTGAGAACCATAGTTCTCAAAGGAGAGAAGCACCAAGAGATGCAGATGTGGGATAATGTCTGGCACCAAGAAACTGGCAGAGGGTGTGGGGACGGAGAAGGAAAAAAGAAGAAACTTTCTTTGTTGGTTTATAAACCAAAGGACTGAATTTTGGTTCCAGTAAGGTAACCTTCATGTACCTTCTTCCAATGAGAAATTTGAACTAGATAAGTGATTTTCAAACTGAGTTCTTTGGAACCCTAGGTTTCTGCAGAAGCCCCTCAGGGTCTATTGTATTGAAGAGAGAAGGTTCACCAATGGATCTGGCCCCCAACTTTAGCCAGAAAAAACTCTTTGTATACTGGGGTTCTACTTAAAGCTCATTTTAAAAAAGGGGGGGGCACTTCTGCTAAAACTAAAGCTTGAATAGCAGCGGCCTAACTGAACTCTCTGACACTTCCCAGCCTGAACAGTTCTTGATCCTATGTGACACAGGACCCACCTGGACATTTTATTTTACTTTGTACAAATGCCCCTTGACTGTGTGGATGGCAAAGCTGCAGCATTTCCTAGAGCCTGTTCTCACTGAGCAGCATGACAGCAAAAGTAAGGAAACCAAACTCCAGGTTTACTGCAAGGCTGAGGCAATAATGAAATACACTTTCACATTTCATGTGGTGATACAGAAGCAGAAAGGAGCATCTTCTTTTTCCTAAACCAAGTTAAGAAACGTAATACCTATGACCTAGGATTCACGGTATCAGTGTCTCAAGTCAGATGCAAAAATGTTATACATCAGAAACAAAGAATATTGGACCCAAAGCCCATTAAAAAAAGCAATCCAATTCCAGTCAAGAAAGAACAATGCAAAAGTTTATCTAGGCAGTCCACCTGATAGCCTAATTACCATTTAAATATAGTGCCTACTCTTCCGAGCAAGGTATTCTGAAGTTACTGTCATTACATACTTTAAAGTCTACCTTTATCTGAAGGTTACAGGCAGGAAATGGCACAGATGGGGAAGGAGATGGGAGTCTTACAAAATAAGATTTTCAAAGCCCTGACTTAAGATGTTGATCCCTTTTCTGTGCTGTTCTTTGGCTGTCCATATTTCATGGGGCATTAAAAGGCCACAAATGTCACTCTACTTCAATTCTGAGAACAGACAAGCAGCAATAATGTGATCTTACCTGGGTCCTTCCTCGTCACCCTGAAAGAAACAGAAAGAAACAGCATTAGAAATCAACACTGGTAGAGACAGATTTAGGTTTCTTTCTTTTCCCTCCCCTCTTGCAACCTGAAAGCAAGGCTTGTGCATTTACTTTAACACAGACAAACCAGCAGATGTCCAAGGGCTAAGACCAGGGCTAATATAATCCTATGCTCGAACTGTCCAGCAGAGATCAACTGATAATTTGCCTTTGCAAGCAGGTAAGTGAATGCACAGACCTAGGAGGCCTAAATAATAGCCTTGCCTTTTTATTTGTATGGCTGGCAGTATTTAGTTCTGAGCAAACTGAGAACCCAAAATAGCAGCAGGTCTTAGGCAAAAGCTGACCAGCTCCAAAAGCATCAAGCTGTTTCCTTCAAAGAGTCATTTCTGCCCTGGTCTAGCATTTTTCTCTCGAAATATGAACATAGCAACTCTAATATAGGGCACACTGTGGTAAAAAGGGCACTGAACTGGGACTCAGAAAATTGGGACTCTAGTCCAAGCTCTATTATTTATTAGCTATGTGCCCTTGGGCAAGTAAATTAATTAATCTGAACCTTGGTCTTCTCCTTTATAAAAGGGGAGCTCTGGCATTTGATGATCTACAACAACCCTCGGCCCAACACTGGCTTTTCACTTTTTCTCATTCACTGTCTATAAAAACAATGTGTGAGGGGTAGCTGTCCAGGTACTGCATGCTCTGAACCTAACTTTACGGGTGATCAGAGCAGAGTCCTTTGACTCTCTTCTTGTGATCACACAAAATTTTTCAAATGATTCTTAAGCCTTCTCCAAGGGACCTCACTCCTTCTTTTGGTGATGGGGTATTTTACATCCTTCTTTTTAGCCTTTCAGGGTTGGTCTCAATGGAGAATGTATCTCCTAGTTGTTAACTCCCCAGAGCACTTAATCAATTTGATTGTTCCTATAGGTATCAAGAATGAACTCTGGAGTCAGACACTCTAGGTTCAAATCTTGACTCCATCACTCATTTGCTGTATTACGTTGGTCACGTTATTTTGCCTCACTTAATTTTAATTTCCTACTTTGTAAAATGGGGTAATAACTGTCCCTGTATCATAGGACGAAAGGAGGATTAAATGAATTAATTATGTATAAACATCAAGCACAGTGCCTAAGACACAGGATGCACTTAATAAAGGTTATTATCACTATCAGTAACAATTCAGTATGATAAGCTACTATAGGTCAACACTAAGGGTAAAAGATAATAACTTAACCTAGGAACTCCCATTCAGGAACAGGGGAAACACAGGAAGAGAAAGAAAATTAATTATGTTAAGGGCTCTACCAAAGACATAAACAGAATGTTTGAAAGTCAGAAGGAAAGTGATAAACACAGCCTCTTCTGGAGAAAGGGGAAGGGAGGGCTTCATAGAGGTGACATTTATATTGGAACTTAAGGGATAAGCAGGATTTCCCCAGGTTGGCAACAGAAGATGAGTGGGAAGGGCACTGGACAAGCAAGAGCAAATGCACAGCAATGTTTAAAAAAAAAAAAAAAGAAGTATGTTAAAGGAATTTTGAGTTTGAGGATACTAGAGAATGGGGATGTGTTTATGTGTGTCTCGGACAGGGGTTGTGGCGGAAGTGGCCGTGGTGTGGGGTTGGAGGGTTGGTAGTGCAACTGAAGTAAAGGGAGATTGCCAGGGCAGAAGCATCTAAGGACAGCTATAGCTAGAAAGGTGATTTAAGTCAGATTATACATTGGAGGTTGGATAAGGAGGGCATTTAGTAGACTGTTCAGGATTTGCAGTACTGGTCAGGGCACTAATCATCCACACTCTAATGAGAGAGAAGTGGGGCAAGTAGTGCAAGGAGGGTATAGGGATGGTGGGAGCTTTCTTTCCATTTTGAATGACTGGCATGTCTTATGGGAACTATAATCTAGTAAGAAAAAATTCATATAATTTAAATTTGAGTTACATAACTATCAATGACTTAATTAAACCTCAACACAAGTTTTCAATTATCTTTGGATATTCAAACATAATTGTCTAGGAGAATCTTACGGAAAAAAGTATCCAAACATTCTCCTGTGATTTAGAGTGAGTCCTCACAACTGTAAATCTTGGCACAGTGGTTAAGAGATGGACTTTCTGATTTAGAGAAACATGGCTTCAAATTTACGTTCATCAATTCCAACAGCAAAGCTTTTGGCAATTTGCCTTAATTTTTCCAGGTTCAGTTTCCTGATCTACACATGGAGATTCCAATTCCTACCTTACAGGGTGGCAATACAGATTAAAATAAATGAGAAAATATGTAAAACACTAAGAAAATGTTTGGTACATTATAAATGTTCAACAAATGGTGCTCATTATTGTACTTTCCCTGAATTAATTAATAATGTCTCTAGGGAAGAGTGAGGAAGGACAGAGAAGATGGGACACAAGACTGTGCTTCACATTCATCCATTTCTACAGCTTATAGATACGTGGCTGTTCAGAAGCAATAATCACTATCACAAAGCATGCGGGAAGACCAGGGTGAGAGTTTCACTGTTGAAGGAATGAATAAATGAATGAAAGAACAAACACACATACATATGGCAATTCTGAATAGGTCAGCAGACACTGAGAAGATTGCTAATCTTCCTTGTAAAAGATGTGCATGCTATTCCCTCCTATTCTGAAAGCCTAAGCTAATTCCTGTCCATTCTTAAAGATCAAGCCTCATTTGGAAATTTTTTTCTCACTGACAGACTGAGTGGAGTAATCCTACTCTGTCCTCCACAACTGTATGGCTCATACTCCTAGGCTGGTACTTAAAGCAGAAAACCAAGTGACAGCAGCATACAGTGTCTCCCTCTTTGGATTTCAATTCCTTGAGAAGAGAAACTGTACTGTTAATCTCTTCATTCACTGTACCTTACACAGCATAAGGCACATAATTAATAATTATTCAAAAATGGGGCACCTGGGTGGCTCAGTCTGTTGAGCGTCTGCCTTTGGCTCAGGTCATGATCCCAGGGTCCTGGGATCGAGTCCTGTATCAGGCTCCCTGTAGAGCAGGGAGTCTTCTTCTCCCTCTCCCCTCTACTCCTCCCCCTTGCTCATGCATTCTCTCTCTAATAAATAAAAAAAAAAAAATCTTAAAAAAAATAACAATTATTCAAAAATGGAAAGGAGGGAAAGCAAGATATAAGTAGGATTTAAGATTAATTTCTACCCCCCCCCCGGGTAAATCTTGGTTTCAGAGAATATTAGAACTGAAAGTTTGCTAAATACCAGTTTCTATTTAAATGACTTGTCAGGTTAAGCAATGTTCCCAAATCCCTCCATCAAATATCCTCAACGCTCTTGGCTGGTAGGCTACATTCTAGTATCTTACCACCTTGTTTCTACTTCCACCAGTGGAAATGTCTGTTCACCAAGAAGGAAATAATTTTGTTCCTAAGGCTGTTTAAATCAGTTGAGCTTGTAATTATGACAACACATTTTATTAAATAACAAAAAGTGAATGCAAGAGGGAAACACTGCCTCCATGAAAACTAAGCTGAATGCTTCCAAAGCATTCAATAAAGATGAGTTACTTAAAAACTGCTGTCAACTTTGGGGTGCCTGGGTGGCTCAGTCGTTAACCGTCTGCCTTCGGCTCAGGTCATGACATGATACTAGGGTCCTGGGATCGAGCCCCACATCGGGCTCCCTGCTCAGCGGGAAGCCTGCTTCTCCCTCTTCCATTCCCCCTGCTTGTGTTCCCACTCTCGCTGTGTCTCTCTCTGTCAAATAAATAAATAAAATGTTTAAAAAAAAAATTGCTGTTAACTTTGATGTAGGTGAGACACATGCAAAATATTAGAAAAAATAAGGTATAAAAGTCTAGGATTCCACATTCAGCTTGCTTCGAATGTTATCCTGAAATTGGACCTTATAAACAGTGCAGTATGGATGTGGTTTATGCCAGAAACATAACATTCCACTCCAAGCGGCAAACCCGTATACTCAAAGGCCTGAGTCAAAAATCAAAGAAATATACAGATAGATATTTCAAGTTTAAAATAAATGTTTAGGATATGCACGTATCATTTTTAATGATTTGCTCATCTGAACTTTTCCTAAAATTATCTCACATAGTTCAGTACTCTTCTCTCAAAACTAGACAAAAGATGGAAGTACTCATGACATGCAAATAAAAATAAACACCATTTTTTAGTACTTGACTTTGGCAAAGAAGTTTATAAAATTCAGGCAAAAAAAATGAGAGACTGTCAAAACTGGTGATGAAAATATACACTGATGTAACTCTTCTGGGAATAGTTAACAAATACGTACAAGAGCCTAAGAAACGTCCATACTTTTGACTCAGTAATTATGATTTATAAACAAAGTCATGCACTATAATGTAATAAATAGCAGTAAGGAAGTTGGAAAAAACTTAAAATTACATAAAAGTTAAGTCTGTATCATTGATTCAGGATTCAAACATTATGTTTATTAAGAATTTCTGGTAATACGAGGAAAATTTTAAATATACTGTTAAGAAAAAAATATCATGAGGGGATGAAGATATTAACTAACCTTACTGTGGATATCATTTTGCAGTATATATGTGTATCAAAATAATCACACTGTATACCTTAAACTTATATATATGTCTATTTTCTCTCAATAAAGTTGGGGAAAAAAACAAAATACATACACAAAAAAGAAAAAAAAAAAGGAAAAAAATACCCCAATAATAACCATCAATTTAGTGTGTTTACTTTCTGCTCTGTCTATAAGTTTTTAGCATTCCAAAATGAATAAGAAGGAAATAACTTTATTTAGTTATTTGAAGAGGAGAAACACCACATCTCATTAGATCTGGGGAATAGTACTGAAACTTGTCCTGTATGCTATATTCTATAAGAGGATCCAAAAAGATTTATTAAAAACACATTTTTAAAAAGAAATGTCATCAGGAAACCTTGTAATCTCTGGACTTCTTCAACCAGAAGCTCTGTGATTCTGCTTAGCCTAGTCAAATTCATC